TATTGAGAGGTATCTTAGGTCGAAGTCAGTTTCGCGCGGGCGCAGTTGTTTTGCACGCCGTGAGCTAGACTATAATCGCACGCCAGAAATTCTTTTTTGCACGACGAAAATTGATTGCACGCCCGATTTCTAGTTCAAAAAAGCCATGAAATCCAGACTGAGATAGTGTGCCGTACTGTATTGTCTTTGTAGATTTTTGCGCAACTCAATTTTAGTGTATTTTTACCGATATTGAGGAACAACATGTCAAAACATCCCCCAAAGGAGGGGTTTTATTCATCAGCAAAATGAGATTCTCTGAAACGAGAGAATGTCTCTTAAGCTGTAAAGTGTGCTTCATAATTATTCTTCCTAACATTCATTTAAACAAATATAAAAAGTTCAAATGGGCCCTACTAAAAAGGTAGGTATCATAGGTATCACTCACTAAAAAGGTAGGTATCAGTAGTAGATGACTAAAAAGGTAGGTATCAGTGTCTAAAAAGGTAGGTATCAGTAGTAAATGACTAAAAAGGTAGGTATCAGTAGTAGATGACTAAAAAGGTAGGTATCAGTAGTAAATGACTAAGCGGACATCGGAACGTAACATGGGTAACAGGTTAGGGTTAGGCGATAATTTTTTTCCAATTTTCCTTATTTTAGTCCTATTATCAGTTCGAAAACTAGCCAAGGGACTCCCGTAGTATTTATACCTAAAATTATGGCCTAACCTAGTACACATATTACATTCCTATGTCCGCCATCTTGGTTCGCATACTTCGGGAGCCCCCTTTTTAGTCATCTACTACTGATACCTACCTTTTCAGTCATCTACTACTGATACCTACCTTTTTAGTCATTTACTACTGATACCTACCTTTTTAGTTATTTACTACTGATACCTACCGTAAAACCGGCTAACTTCGGATGCCTTGTAACTTCGGATGAAATTTTCAATCATTCATATCTCAACTAAATTTCGTCGTATTGCGCTTCTGTTGGTTTCTATAGTAAGGCCTTACATATCTGAATCTGCCGTAGCCTCCAATCGCTCGATTTGATTTTTTATCATTCAAAAAATCATATTTTACCAAAAAAATGACACCGTTTTTTCGAGCGGCTCAAATCGTGACTTCTACAGACGCTACCTTCGTCAAATCACCGCCAAGCGCTGGAGAGCATACACAATGTATACAAAAAAATACAGTGATCACAGGGTGTCGTACGAGATTCGAGTGAAATCGATTATTTTGATTTAAAAATTACATCAAAATATCGACGTTTTGATGATTACGTACAGCGTGACGTCAACGACGCAAATCCCTTTCTCTCTCTTCGTAGCCGACGTCACTTTGCGTAGCTCGTGCGTTACTCGCTGCGACATTTGAACGCCAGACATCGCGGCGCCCAGTTTTGTGAAATTTAAAAATTATGCTTATCCATGATCCTAGTCACTAAATCCTACAAAACATCACTATCGTCTCAGTCATATGTTGTTTATTTAAAAATATGGGTATGCATACGCTTAATGCATATGAAATTTGTCGATTTTTGTTTTTGCATACTTCCTCCGACACCGATAGATACCGTAGCAATCGGTAATACGTTAGGCCTGAAACATGTATCTATACGATCATAATGATTAGATATGTCTGTTTACGATCGGCAGATGATAATAATATCTTTAACAGGTGAGCGTAGAACTCTACATAGATGCACACAGCAGGAGGTTGGACCACATACAGGTGAGGCGCAAAATGAAAAAAAGTGGCGAAGTTTCTTTTTGCCGTTTTTATCCGTTTATTGTCATTTGACTTTATCTATCTACCTGTGAACACATTAAATCTGATCTATCAATACGATGCCAAGGCGAACTTACAACTCCTGCAATAGCGAGGACTTGCAAAAGACTATGGCTGATGTTAGAGCAGGGATGTCGATTGCGAAAGCTGCAGCGAAACACATTGGTTCCACAAGAACTGTTGCAAAGACCCGTCTAACCCATGTGGAAATGATTACAATTCTTGATTTTGCCAGCGTTTCCTTCAATTCATCTGTTTATTTTTAACTGTCGAATTTTTGTTCATACCTTACTTGTTCCATATTGCTTTTTGATTTCAATTTTTACTTTTGCCAGTGTTTCATTCGATTCATCCGTTTATTTTCAATTGTCTAATTTTTGTTCATTCTCTACTTGTTCCATATTGCATTTCAATTTCAACCTACACCAGTGTTAGGTACTTTCAATTCTTCCGTTTTTTTTTTTTTGTTAATCCTTTTCTTGAATTGAAAATAAACGATCATAAAAGAACGAACTAGCATTTTGCAATAAATTAGGAGTAGTTAGTGAAATATATACGAGTTATAATAAAGGACACAAGAATAAATAGTTAAGCTTCGCGAAGCGGCAAGAGTAACGTCACGTACAAACGTCAGTATGCAACACGCAAGACGGGTCGTGGCGGCGTAAGATCTATTCAGCGACGTTGTCACGCGTCATTGCTTACGCAGACATTTCTCTCTCACGACGAGTTGACGCAAAGAGAAAAGTGGCCATCCGAAGTTAGATAATTTTAGAATAGACGAATAAAGACAATAATTTCAATGAAAAAAGGCTTTGATGGGTATGGAACCGACTTTATCAAGACGAGAATAGCCACAATGTATTATATTCCAAATTTGGCTTCAGTTGAACAACATGCGGCGGAGATATTGTTCAAAATATAGTGAAATCATCCGAAGTTAGCCGGTTTTACGGTACTGTATCATAGGTACCGTATCACTCCATAAAAAGATAGGTATCAGTAGTAGATGACTAAAAAGGTACGGTACCTACCTTTTTAGTAGGGTCCGTTCAAATGAATAAAAAAAAATCTGAAAAGATGCATGAATACAAAAACCTAACTGACCAATTCTTGTTCCTCTGTTTTCCCTTCTTCATCAAATAAATCTCCATCATCTACTTCAGTGGTATCTGCTTTTCCGCTAGTTCCGTGTCTTTTACCGGTATTTCATCATCGCTTTCATCCGAGTTGGCTGCCGCAGCTTGGCTCAATGGATCTAGGAATTCGGTCATTATTTCGCTCACACAATACCGATCATTCTATAAATAACGGATAAATTACCGTCCAATCTACAGTTTAACCGGTTTTTCTGTAATACAGCGCAGAAAATTTCTGTAACTGACCAAAATTGCCGAAAACTCCCCAAAAACTTTGTGCAGCGAGCTCTGTAGTTCCATGAAATGACGTTTCTGACCTTTGAACCCTTGTGCTCTCATGAAGGATACAATTTTCATATTTTTTCAACGAGAGATATGTATTTTAGTTTATTATACCAACAGAACAGAAAAAACAATTCAATAATAAATGATTCATCAGCAGCAGTCGCAAAAGTCAGTATGCTAGACTGGTTAGGTCACGAGGTTACTGGCCCATGTGTGTATGCCAGGTGGGACGCCGGGATATCTTGTCAAAGCCGGTATTGTCCCAGTGAGCGAGTTTTTATTATATCTAAAATTACCCCGTTTGCTGATGGAGAGGCGATTTAGTTGTTTTGATAGCAATAGTGTCACGGCTGAAAACCCCATTTTCACCATATCAGAGGTCGAGAATGAAAGAATCCAGGGTTCTACCTCCTCAAAAACCGCCGTGTACTCTTGCCTTATAGCATTTAACTCCCTAAATTCTCCCGTTTCAGATTAAAATAATGAAAACAGAATTAATTTTTCAAAACTTATAATAATGATTTAGGTACATCTCATTCATCCCTACAGCCTGATGACCTCCACCAAAATACATGATATATAACGGTAAAATTCACCCCCCATCCTACCACCTCCTCCAGTCCAATCACCAGTCTATAGAATTAATCAGCCATTTGTTTTGGATTCGTGGACTTGGATGGCTTAGGAGTCGCCGCTCGCGGGACAAAATTTATGGTCGCTATTCTTTTGCGGATCGCATATATTTTTTGAGAGTTAAAAACGGAACATCGTGCAAAAACTGCGACAATTTGTGAACTCAACTCGGTCGTCTTCTTAAAAAATTGTTACAACGACATTTAATTTGACACTGTCTTGTTGCTGCATCACGCTTGATAGCTTTACGACGCCAAGATTGGAAGATTTATTAAATGGGCATCACTAATCCTAGTTCTTTGTAATGTTCATTTTCAAAAATAACTGTTCGCACAAATATGTACTCTCAAACATCGAAGTGAATATTTTCGCATGGTTTGTGAAATTTCGATAAAGATTCTCTTTAAGAAGATACATTCTTACAAAAATTAAGCAGTGAAGAAACTCTCGAATAGAATATGAATTCCTCATTGCATTGCAATATATTCGAATATTCACTGCGCTATTAAACCCCTGCACTCAGCATCAACTTTTCTGCGTGTTTCCATTCGTCTAATTATAATTAAATTGTAGGCTCGTTAAACGAGTAGCTGTTCAATATAATTTTTAGGATATTATAAAATTTAATCTAAACGTGTCTCACGATAAATTCTGTTATGTAAAAAAAATGTAATTTACTCCTCGAGCGTAGATAATAAATAAATTTAATTCATCGTTAAAACCGCCGTTTGCATGTTTCCCCTGGCATGGACTTCCTTGTTTACTTCGTGGCATTGGCAAATCAGCAATATGCAAAAATAAACGTAACAATGCCCTCTTTCGCATTCGCTCAGACACATTTCTACCTCAGACAGACTTTCAGGCGTGGTCGTGAACATTACCTCATTTTCGCGATTTTAAATTATATTGTTGGTTTTTAGTGGTTTTTCGGAAATTTAAATAAAATAAGTCAATCACCTTGTCCCGCTAGGAATTTCAGTTAAATTACAGTAATCAAAAATTAGTGTAGAAATAGCTGTGATAGACTAGGCTAAAATTCCTTACCGGTACTTTTAAAAAACAGATTGTTGAATGGTATGAATTAAAACGATAGTTTGAAACAAATACTTCATTTTATAGAAAACAACTTGCAAAACCGCTCTTAAAATAAACACCGAAAACTTTAGAATGGTAAACTATGGGAAGAATTTTCCGGGGTCAAAGGTCGGAGAAAGATCCATTCAGTGAAGCGCCCCGGCCAGATTACCCCGACCACTGAGATACGCAAACTACCGCACCTTACTGCGAAGACGAGTCCAGCAATTCTTTCGTGTGTGACATCGCCCACGTGATTCAAACTTACGAAAGCAGGCAGAGTACAGTAATCAAGTGCATGATGCGCGGACCAAAAACAGGTTTTGCGATATCGCCCCCTACGACTTTCTCGCCCACCGGGGGACGATATCGCCCATTTTGGGAATCACTGATCTGGGAGAATTACTGGACGGGCATTGTGACAAAACTAGGGGATTCTGGAACATATTTCGTGACATCACAAAGCGATAGAGTCACGAAGCAATAGAGAAAAGCTTTTTGTCCAAGAAAGAAGGGTGATGAGCATCGTGGATTTCAACCTGTGCTGCCCGTGAGCAGTCATTCCAGACCCGCAGCGGCAACATGCAGCATCAGAAGTCACATTAAATGTATATTTACATTGTATTTGTTGACTTTAAAGTAAAAATTTCAGGCTTGATTAAGTAAAGAAAAGCTATATAATGCTTGCACAGAAATGCAGTTGAAAATATGTATCTTTTATGGCTGACCAAAAAAGGTTAACGACCCCTGACGTAAACATCAAAATTATTGAAAGTGAAAAATTAAACATGCAGTGGTTGAAGCTCAATATACAGCACATACTGATCATGAAAACAGTGCAATAAGAAAATGAAAATATTCAATTAAATGACTAGAACTGACATGGGCAAACTAAGGCTCACGGGCCAAATCCGGCCTGTTGGGTAATTGAATCTGGCCCACCCAATGCTGTCACAACTAAACTAAAACCAAATTTTGATGTTTCAGCTGAAAAGTAGCTCAGAAGATGTGTTGAGATTGCGATTAAATTAAGGCTTATTGTTTTCCACTTTTGCCTTTTTAACACTGTAACTATTGTTCATAAAATTAAACTTTTTACGTCACACACTTACATGGCCACCAGTCTAAGTGGGTAAAATTTTTGGCCCCGGGTTCGAAAACCTTGCCCACCGCTGAACTAGAATCATCATTAGGGTGGATAAGGAAAAGGCAAACACAAGGAATATGCAAGAAATGTGTGCGACATCAAAATGTGAGCATTGAATAGGCGGAGTAACATATTGTACAAATCCTATTACTTGGGGGTTTGGGTTATACTTGAGTTCTAATTCAGGACATGGTTGTTAACATAATATCAGCAAGTGAACCCTGAGATCATTGGTTCGAGACCAGGTTGATTCGACTCATTATTTTACTTAGTTCAATATATTAGGTAAACAGGTACAAATCCTAGGAAGAGTGGATCCCTATGCTTGAATGGATACCTCCTTTAGCTTTAAAAGGGAATGAACTTTTAATTTTGTTGACAGGGAATATGATGGTAAAATATTTTTAATCAAAATGAAATGCTTGAAAACAGATTTAGTTGGAAACATTGTATAAATCACAAACTAGAGTCCTGATATGTTCAGGGTGTCTGATCTTTAAGCATTGTGGCAGATTCATATGTATAAATGGATGCTTGCTTGAGCCTTGTATGGAGAGGAAACAATTAATACTATGAAACTAATTTTGTTGATAAAAAATGAACCTGTTGAAGTTGAATAAAATTAAAGCTTGAATGGCTTATACCCGGCGACATGGATTATTCAAATCACTGTTTGTGGATTCTAGTCGTTAATGACCTCGACCTCGGTATCAGCAATCAATGCTTTGAATCTTTCCAACTGATCCTTGTTGAAGTCGCATCCCTTCATCTCCAATCTTTTAACCTGACATTGATGAACAATTTCACTTAGTGTAGATAATCCTTCATCTCCGAGTTTGCTGACCTTGTTCCAATTCAGATCCAGTAACTTTATCTGAAAATATTAAGTTTTTCATTTTAAAATCACAAACAGCAACCCAAGTTTATCAATCTGTCCTAGAGCAGTGGTTCCCAACCGCCGGTCCGCGAAGCTTTTTTGCCGGTCCGCAGGAAATTTCATTCTCTTGCTTATCTACCGTATCAATCGCTTTACCGAAGCCGAAAATATTGCTGTTTGATAGGTGCGGTATGGCCCTGCGACATCTTGACGCCGAGTAATCACGCTTTTGACTATTTCGAATCCGATTCATCGCGAAGGCGCTCCGTCAAATCTCGCAAGATTCAGAAACCCACAAATCAGCATGCATGCTTTTTTTTGATTAATAAGTCGAAGTTACGTTGGTTTATTATGAATCTCTCTTCCGCCGACATATTGGTGTTTGATAGGTGCGGAATTGATGGCCCGGCGACGTCTTGGCGCCGAGTAATCACACTTTTACTTTTTCGGTTCCGATTCATAGCGAAAGCTCTCCATCAAATCTCGCAAGATTCACAAACCTGAAAATCAGCATGCATGCTTTTTGCGTTTTGCATTGATATTACCATCCATATAAAAGGTTATGAGTATTTCTTTCTTCGTTTAAACCAGAAAACTGTCAGGACCAGTATAATATTCCAGAGCCATAACACCCAGCGAGATATGAACTTATTGCGACCTTGCAGGTGGTCACGAGACATACAACAAAAGCATGGGCTGTGAGATCTTTTTCGGGTGATGCACAGCAGGATTTTGACCCTGGAGTCAAGTTAGCAACGACTTTATCATTGCAATATAAATTAATTTTGTTTGGGGCGTCGATCAACTGCAGAGGGATTGATATGATGAACCCGATGAAACCTTAACTTTACAGTCCAGATTTATAAAAAATCATTGTCACAATACATTCTTGAGCTCTCTTGATAACGAATACCCATCGCTAAGTAATCAAGCAACAAACAGTTGTCCGAATTTTTAACCAGTTACTTCTAGCTTTAATTAAAACGAAGCAAATAAATTGACTGTGAGCCGCTGAAGAGCTTTGTGTTGCGAAACCTTTTTAGGTTAGAAAGGTTGGGAACCAGTGTCCTACTAGATGATGGAATATTCATAGATAAAAGCCTCAACCGCTGGTGTGCGTCAACCATCCTGCCGGTTCGTCAGCTATAATCCAATGTTATACCTTAATAGCAAAATGCAAGGCATTGATGTTCATTTATTTTGTGAGTTTAACTCCTATTAATGCGTAAACCAAACTCGTTCAGATGTCATATGCTCATTTCAAGCCCTGAATGCTGAATGTTTTGTTTAGTGTATGACGTCATAAAGATGTTCACTTATCCTGTTAAAAAAATACATTGAATGGCTCGTGCAGGATTTTGTGCCTCTGTAGCATTATATTTGGTTTAAAAATCCACTAATATTTGATTGCTTTTTTCTTAATATAAAATTTTGGTAGCGCAAGTAGCCAAGTTAGTTTAGCTTTTATTTGATACTGAAAAATGGACAATATTGTATATAGATCTCTAGTAGGTACCAATACACTGATCTCCCAAATCCAAGTAGAGTCTTGAATGGAATATTCGTGTAGGGCACAGCTTTTTTTTTCAAATTCAACTGATGGACTCGTGCATACTACGACCGCTGGATGTACTGCCCTAACAACTCCAATTTCTGTAGATTTTTCAATTTATAATTACGCATTTATGCTGGTTACTTTTTACTCTCAAAGATTTCAACTCACCTTTGCATTGCCAGTGTTTTCCTTAAATGCTTTCATTGCTTCTGTTGTCAGTTTGCAACGCCGAGCCTTGAATACCTTCACCTGACATTGTGTAACAACTAATCCAACTTCAGCCCAACCAGCAGGTCCAAGATCCTCATTCTCACTGACATACAGTTCATCCAACTGAAATAAATAAGAACTTTAAGAATATTTAACATGGTAGGAATGTCAACAAAGCAATTGATTAACCAGTAATAAAGAATCTCAAGCAGAACAGCTGCATGAGAAAATGAATGAAGTGATCTAAATAGATATCCACTGACACTAGAAGCAGGAAGCTAAAACTTGCAGTGCTCAAATGACTTTTATAAAGAAGAAATTGCTTTACTGCCAGAGATTCTCCAGTAAGAATTCATTTTATAGTCTTGTTTGAAGCTGAACCAATCCCTATGTGATGATTACCTACCGGTAGTTTGTTTTCTGCAACGCTAGCTATGAGGTGGCCATGGCTTAATTAGAGTTAACAAGGTATATACCGCAAACATTTTTCCACCAAGCAAAAAATAAATTTCAACCCCTTATACCAACGGTGCACAACCTAAGGTCGTTGTGAAAAAATAATGAGGCCGTATACAAAATCCTATAAACAAAAATAAAAAAGTTCAAAATATAGGATTTGGCGGCTATGCTGGAGTATATTGAAGCAAAACAGAAGCACTGCAAAAAAGTCAGACAAAACGATGCGTCACAATCTGGATGGTGTATTTCCTGTTGGGGATTTCCCTTCACGGTTAAGATTGCTCACACATTTCGGCAGCCTAGCAACGTAGCAAGTTGGCCTAGCAAGGCATCCGCAGCGTACAGCCGAGGAAGCCGCCGTCATTTGCTGTTTGATAGGTGCGGTATGGCCCTGCGACGTCTTGGCGCCAATAAATCTTGCTTTTGACTATTTCGGTTCCGATTCATCGCGAAGGCGCTTCGTCAAATCTCGCAAGATTCAGAAACCCACAAATCAGCATGCATGCTTTTCTTGATTAATAAGTCGAAGTTACTTTGGTTTATTATGAATCTCTCTTCCGCCGTCATATTGGTGTTTGATAAGTGCGGAATTGATGGCCTGGCGACGTCTTGGCGCCGAGTAATCACACTTTTACTTTTTCGGTTCCGATTCATAGCGAAAGCAAGTTTCACAATTCTCGCAAGATTCACAAACCTGAAAATCAGCATGCATGCTTTTTGCGTTTTGCATTGATATTACCATCCATATAAAAGGTTATGAGTATTTCTTTCTTTGTTTAAACCAGAAAACCGTCAGGACCAGTTTAATATTCCAGAGCCATAACACCCAGCGAGATATGAACTTATTGCGACCTTGCAGGTGGTCACGAGACATACAACAAAAGCATGGGCCGTTGAGATCTTTTTCGGGTGATGCACAGCAGGATTTTGACCCTGGAGTCAAGTTAGCAACGACTTTATCATTGCAATATAAATTAATTTTGTTTGGGGCGTCGATCAACTGCCGAGGGATTGATATGATGAACCCGATGAAACCTTAACTTTACAGTCCAGATTTATAAAAAATTATTGTCACAATTCATTCTTGAGCTCTCTTGATAACGAATACCCATCGCTAAGTAATCAAGCAACAAACAGTTGTCCGAATTTTTAACCAGTTACTTATAGCTTTAATTAAAACGAAGCAAATAAATTGACTGTGAGCCGCTGAAGAGCTTTGTGTTGCGAAACCTTTTTTTGACGCCTCGTTTGCAATCCTGTATTGGAAACGAAACAGCAAAATTCTCACTGGAGTTAATTGTGTGTGTACATGTTTTGGCATGTACTTGTTTTTTTATGTGAGGTGTGGGCCTTTTTTAATCATAGTGGGTGCCCACTGCATGTTATTACGCAAATATATGGTATTATTTTATGTTCCAACCATTCCAATTTTTGGCCGGCCACTATTTAATAGTTTTTCCACATGTGAAATATTTTTAAGTGTACCTTTTTTTCTCAAAGCGTAGTGATTGCCCGACATTACGCAAATATATGTTATTATTTTCTGTTCCATTCATTTAAATTTTTGCTGGTTCGCGAGTACATTTTATTTAATTTTACCGGTCCGGCAGGTTAGAAAGGTTGGGAACCAGTGTCCTAGATGATGGAATATTCATAGATAAAAGCCTCAACCGCCAGGTCTGCGTCAACCATCCTGCCGGTTCGCCAGCTATAATCCAATGTTATATCTTAATAGCAAAATGCAAGGCATTGATGTTCATTTATTTTGTGAGTTTAACTCCTATTAATGCGTAAACCAAACTCGTTCAGATGTCATATGCTCATTTCAAGCCCTGAATGCTGAATGTTTTGTTTAGTGTATGACGTCATGAAGATGTTCACTTATCCTGTTAAAAAAAATACATTGAATGGCTTGTGCAGGATTTTGTGCCTCTGTAGCATTATATTTGGTTTAAAAATCCACTAATATCCGATTGCTTTTTTCTTAATATAAAATTTTGGTAGCGGAAGTAGCCAAGTTAGTTTGGCTTTTATTTGATACTGAAAAAATGGACAATATTGTAGATAGATCTCTAGTAGGTACCAATACACTGATCTCCCAAATCCAAGTCGAGTCTTGAATGGAATATTCGTGTAGGGCACAGCTTTTTTTTTCAAATTCAACTGATGGACTTGTGCATACTACAATAGCTGGATGTACTGCCCCAACAACTCCAGTTTCTGTAGATTTTTCAATTTATAATTACGCATTTATGCTGGTTACTTTTTACTCTCAAAGATTTCAACTCACCTTTGCATTGCCAGTGTTTTCCTTGAATGCTTTCATTTTTTCTGCTGTCAGTTTGCAATTCCAAGCCTTGAATACCTTCACCTGACATTGTGTAACAACTAATCCAACTTCAGCCCAACCAGCAGGTTCAAGATAATAATTGTGACTGACAACTAGTTTATCCAACTGAAATAAATAAGAACTTTAAGAATATTTAACATGGTAGGAATGTCAACAAAGCAATTGATTAACCAGTAATAAAAAATCTCAAGCAGAACGCTGTGGGAGAAATGAATGAAGTGATCTAAATAGATATCCACTAAAGCAGGAAGATAAAACTTGCAATGCTCAAATGACTTCAATAAAGAAGAACGCTGCGACGTCTTGGCGCCGAGTAATCACGCTTTTGACTATTTCGGTTCCGATTCATTGCGAAGGCGCTCCGTCAAATCTCGCAAGATTCAGAAATCCACAAATCAGCATGCATGCTTTTCTTGATTAATAAGTCGAAGTTACGTTGGTTTATTATGAATCTCTCTTCCGCCGTCATATTGGTGTTTGATAAATGCGGAATTGATGGCCCGGCGACGTCTTGGCGCCGAGTAATCACACTTTTACTTTTTCGGTTCCGATTCATAGCGAAAGCTCTCCATCAAATCTCGCAAGATTCACAAACCTGAAAATCAGCATGCATGCTTTTTGCGTTTTGCATTGATATTACCATCCATATAAAAGGTTATGAGTATTTCTTTCTTTGTTTAAACCAGAAAACTGTCAGGACCAGTATAATATTCCAGAGCCATAACACCCAGCAAGATATGAACTTATTGTGACCTTGCAGGTGGTCCTGAGACATGCAACAAAAGCATGGGCCGTTGAGATCTTTTTCGGGTGATGCACAGCAGGATTTTGACCCTGGTGCCAAGTTAGCAACGACTTTATCATTGCAATATAAATTCATTTTGTTTGGGGCGTCGATCAACTGCAGAGGGATTGATATGATGAACCCGATGAAACCTTAACTTTACAGTCCAGATTTATAAAAAAATTATTGTCACAATTCATTCTTGAGCTCTCTTGATAACGAATACCCATCGCTAAGTAATCAAGCAACAAACAGTTGTCCGAATTTTTAACCAGTTACTTCTAGCTTTAATTAAAACGAAGCAAATAAATTGACTGTGAGCCGCTGAAGAGCTTTGTGTTGCTAAACTTTTTTTTGATGCCTCGTTTGCAATCCTGTATTGGCATACTTTAACCGCTGGATGTATTGCCCTAACAACTCCAATTTCTGTAGATTTTTCAATTTATAATTACGCATTTATGATGGTTACTTTTTACTCTCAAAGATTTCAACTCACCTTTGCATTGCCAGTGTTTTCCTTGAATGCTTTCATTTCTTCTGCTGTCAGATTGCAATCATCAGCCCTGAATACCTTCACCTGACATTGAGTAACAACTAATCCAACTTCAGCCCAACCAGCAGGTCCAAGATCCGCATTGCCACTAACATCTAGTTCATTCAACTGAAATAAATAAGAACTTTAAGAATATTTAACATGGTAGGAATGTCAACAAAACAATTGATTAACCAGTAATAAAGAATCTCAAGCAGAACAGCTGTGGGAGAAATGAATGAAGTGATCTAAATAGATATCCACTGACACTAAAAGCAGGAAGCTAAAACTCGCAGTGCTCAAATGACTTTTATAAAGAAGAAATTGCTTTACTGCCAGGGATTCTCCAGTAAGAATTTATTTTATGGTCTTGTTTGAAGCTGAACCAATCCCTATGCGATGATTACCTAGTTGGTTTTCTGCAACGCTAGCCACGAGGCGGTCATGGCTCAAAGTTAACAAGGCATATAAGGTAATCATGTTTCCACCAAGCAAAAAATAAATTACAACCCCTTATACAAAGGTGCACAACCTGCGGCCATTGTGAGAAAATAATGCGGCTGTCCACATACAAAATCCTATAAACAAAAATAAAAAAGTTAAAAAAATATAGAATTTGGTGGCTATGCTGGCGTATATTGAAGCAAAACAGAAGCACCACAAAAAAGTCAGACAAACTGATGCGTCACAATCTGAATGGTGAATTTGCTGTTGGGGAATTCCCTTCACGGTTTCGGCAGCCTAGCAACGTGGCAAGCTAGCCTAGCAAGGCATCCGCAGCTTACAGCCTAGGAAATTGTAGCAGTTTTATTTGATTCTTACTCTGATTTGTATGACAAGCCTGATAGTGAATCTGTCGATGGCCAACTTATCAGTGAAGAATACCATTTCAAATTAGGTCTAATTAAGCTTGCTGTTAGCAACCAGATTTTGTTTATTACAGCGCTAGCCTATATTAAACTGCCTAAAACTTTTAAACATTACTTCATGTCGTCATTAAATTGCTACAATGCTTTGCAAACTTTTATAGAATAAATTCATTAAATTATTAGACATTTTATTATACTTTTGAGGACAAGAAAATGGAGGCAACCGCCCCTCCCCCTCCCAGACTTTCGATTTTTTTCCAAATTGTGCAACCATTATGCAACTTGTTGCAATATATCTGCTCAAGAATAGGTCCACCGAAGGAGAAAAATCCGTTCAAAATGCGAATATTATACTTCCAAGTAGTCATACATACTTCATAATTGGGCAGACTGCACCTCGCATGGGTCAAATACGCGGTTATGACGTCATAAAAGCAAAAAAAAATTGCGTGCCTTAGGCGCGCTCATCAACCTCCTGGAGGCCGTTTTGAATACAAATTAATGCTATGTGGCCGCCAATAGCAAAAAGGTTGTGCACCCCTGCCTTATACTAACTAATTTTTTCAAACATTCTGGATCAGTTCAAAAAGAGAAGTATCAGCCCTCATTTTGCTGAAAGCGATAAAATGGCCGATATTGCAGATACCGATACATCTCTAGTAGGTACCAATACACAAATCTTCAAGTCGAGTCTTGAATGAAAGCAATTGGAATCAAATTTCAAATGTGCCAGGTTCACCAATCAAAGCATTGAAACCAAGTCCATTTGAGTCCCCAGTAGGTCATGATTTAACCTATGGACTCGTGCATACTACAATCGCTGGATGTACAGAGCCTTGTTCTGAGCAAACAGATTGAGATTTGAAAATGTATAACATCCAGTTCTTTCATGGATTTTTCAATTTTAATAATGCCTGACATTGCAAAACATCCAACTTCAGCTAAACCAGCAGTGCCAAGATATTTGTTGCCACTGACAACCAGCTCATTCAACTGCAATGAATGAAAACTTCAAGATTATTTAACATATTGGAAATGCGAACACAACAATTGAAATCTCCAGCAAAAGCAAAAACCAAAAAAATTTGAAAAAAGGTCAATGTATCAGACAATATATAAAGAGTAAGGCTTATCCCTGGGGTTCAAAATATGAGGAAGAGCAGGGATCAGTGGTATTTTCAATGATTATTCTGTGTACCAGGGTGGCGATGGAAATAAAAGTGAACTTCGTCACGTTGCGAAATGGTTTTAAAATTGGTAGAAACCTTAACGGATATTTGTAATTATAAGCATTTTGGCAACCTTCTTAAGAGCGATCCTTCGAAAGGAAAACCATTGAAGAGTTTGGTAAAATATCCGCAGTGACTCGATATGATAACATGGCAGTAACTCTTTTATTGTCGCATATTGGAGTGGAACCCGTCGGCACCATCAGAAGATGGCAAATCAAATAAATACTTGGCTAGTTGGATGTACCAATGCCTGCAATTATTAAGAAAAATTTTTTTGTTTGCTTTAATTAAAAATGTTCAATAAACGGAAGTAAAATTTTAATGATGAGAATTTTAGCCAGACTTCATCGTGTGTTGGGTTTTGCGGGGTTGTCATAAAGATCCATTGGTTGCCAAACCGCAGCCTGCGGGCCAATTACAGCCCACGTAAAATATAATATGGCCCGCCGAACTTGATTGTAATGTTCAACACTATGTTTGTTTTTTTTTCGTTCTAGATCAATTGTTACATCATTTTTTACATTTTGAGCACGAGTATATCATAACAGTTCAATTCTACTGATATAGACTCTTGCGAGCACTCCCCTTCCCCGCCCCCAAATATCTTTCCGCTTCTACTTTTGCTTCTCTTTTATAGACTAAATTCATTAAAATATTTGACATTTTATTATACTTTTTGTGACAAGAAAATGGGGGCGACCGCCCCTCCCCCTCCCCGACTTTCGATTTTTTTCCAAATTGTGCAACCATTATGCAACTTACTGCAATATATCTGCTCAAGAATAGGTTCACCAAAGGAGAAAAATCCGTTCAAAATGCGAATATTATACTTCCAAGTAGAACTACATACTTCATAATTGGGAAGACTGCACTTCGCATGGGTCAAATACGCGGTTATGACGTCATAAAAGCAAAAAAATTGCGTGCCTTAGGCGCGCTCATCAACCTCCTGGAGGCCGTTTTGAATACAAATAAATGCTATGTGGCCGCCAATAGCAAAAAGGTTGTGCACCCCTGCCTTATACTTACTAATTTTTTTAAACATTCTGAATCAGTTCAAATAGAGAAGTATCAGCCCTCATTTTGCTGAAAGCGATAAAATGGCCGATATTGCAGATACCGATACATCTCTAGTAGGTACCAATACACAAATCTTCAAGTCGAGTCCAGGAAGTGTTCACCATTAGCGCATTTATTGGGAACAGTTTTTTTGGGACTGCGAAATCGCACTTTTTTCGATTTTGAGGAGCAAAAATTCGAAGTTGACAAATCTTTTCGTGCGAATATGAAGTTGACAAATAAGTTGGGTACTAGTACTTTTATCGACTTGGCGATGCCCTGGCGATTTTCCGATTGCAACATTATTGAATTTTCGGAATATGTGAAACATTCTCTATATTAAATTAAATGACTTTTTGCGGGCTTAGAGTTCTCCCGGGAAATGATGTGTACCAGACGTTAGATAAAATATCATAGGATAGGGATAGGATTTGCATATTTATCCCGGAGGAGAGGAAAGCCGATAAGACGGCTTATCCATATGGCGAACCACGGCCTCTCGTCCGGTTACCATTCCAAGTCGGGTATGGGATTAGTTTTACTGTATTGTTTGTTTTCGGAAGCATGGACTTGGTGGTGGAAGAAGCCGTAACCGACCAGCGGTTACGTGAACCACCCAACGACAACGAGGAGTCCAGCAATCCTCTCGCACATAACCATCCCTGCATGGGATTCGAACCTGCGAACCCACGCAGAGTAATTAGAGGTGCGGTGGCGAGCGTATTCCTAACGCTTGGCCCGTTGAGTCACACCGCCGCGCCATTAGCTTATTAGCAATCATTAGCTTAATATTTGTCTCGACGCCCCGTTTTCGAAAATACAAAGTTATATCGCAAATATGCGTTTTTTTTACATTTAAAATAAAACCTTATTTGAGTTTAATTTAGATCAAATCTTACACTTCACGACACCCATTTCGAAAATACAAAGTTATATCGCCAAAGATGAATTTTGTTACATTTAAAATAAATAAAACACTATTTACGGTTAATTTAGACCAAATTACACTTTTCACGACACCCTGTTTCGAAAATACAAAGTTATATCGTGAAAGATGCGTTTTGTAAATTTTAAAATAAAAATATTTTGCGATTAATTTAGATCAAATTTTACTTTTACAAGACCCCGTTTCCGAAAATACAAAGGTATTTTGGAAAAAAATGCGTTTTGTTACACTTATTTCGCAATTTGCACTCCAAATAAAATACCGGTACTCATTTTCCAGAATCCAAAAGTTGCCACACGTGGTTTGTATAACGATAATGACTGAAAATTAAGATTTTGCAGTAGAAATGAATTTGTCTGAAAGTGTTATTTCACAAGTCTTGCCCGCAGAAAATAAACACGCTGACATGCTTGATTATAATTGATAGTCGTTAAATTTATTTTACACCATTAATTAACGCGCCCTACCAAGTGCGGCCACATAAATTGCAATTGCCTCAGTATGGACTGTGTGTTTTTGGCGCTCTCACATTAAAGATAATTTAATGTTTTTTCATAGCTATTTTTTGTATTTCACAACTTAGTATCAAGGGGTATAATGCGCTATTTATGTATGCGCTTCTCGTTCAACATTCATTTCAAGGATTTCAGCGTTTCACAAGGTCGAATAAAAATTATTTATCAAATGGATCGATATTTCGCGACACATTCCAAATTATTTGGGAACCACTATCATATCATCATTTACTTTTTATATTCATGTTTTTCGATAATCATCCTCGTTGTGTTTGGTTTACATGTGTTCCTATTAGCGTAATTGTAATATATGGAAAAGGTCGCACTCGGCCATGAGATGCGAATATTTTATACTAGGTTTGCAGCATTAGAGAGAATGCTATTTATAAATGCTGAAAGTACATGGTATTCATTACTAAAAAATTTGTCACTATATCAGTGGTTCTCAACCGCCATTCAACCGGTCCGCGGCAACCTTGCTGCCGGTTCGCCAAATATTTTCCCAATATTAATATATATATTATAAGCGAATTGCAAAATACGAAGTATTGACGGCATGTCCGTTAGTTTTATGATTTTTTTTTACTCTTATTGATTCGTAGTATTGGTATTCGTCTAACAACCGGACTTGGTGAGAAGTCCTCTACCCAGGGTTGTTCAAAACGAATCGAATATTCGAATTTATTCGAATAGCAAAGTATCCGAATACCTTTTCGGCTGATTTTCGAATAATTTCGAATGGGAGCCACTTTTCGCCGTAAACACAGTGTTTCGTTTTACCGTGTTTTTCTATTAGATAGAGGGAGTAACACAAATGTGAAAGATAGCCTTTGCTGTTCACACGAATTAGCACCCATTGATAGCACGAAAGTTTAGTTCGCTACAGGCGTGCAAACAAAGATTTAAACAAAACTCTGTTAACGGAAAAAACTCGTATTTAATTTGCAATATTAACGGAAGGAGCGCTCTTTCGAGTATCTATGTTGTTTTGAAGAAGTTAAAATAAAAGCTAGGGCACCTTACTTTAAAAATGCACTTTCGCACTTTTATTTTCGACTGCGAAGCACTTTCGCATTCATAATTCGCTCAGAGTTAACACTGGTACCAGGGTGGCGATGGAAAACAAAGTGAACTTGGTCAGGGTGCAGATGTGGTTTTGAAATGGACAGAAATCTTACCAAATGATTGAAATTATAAGCTTTTTGGCAACCTTTTTACGAGCGTTCCTTAAATCGAAAAACTGATGGATGCTGGAATAAATTAAGTAGGTACGGTGCGCAAAAAACGAATTGGAAACATGAAGATGCCCGACGAGAAGGACTTGAGGAAGAAGTGCTTATGATTATAAAGTTGAAGTTTTTTATTTTTCGTTCTAGATACCATCAATTGTTACGTCATTATCACATTTTAAACATGAGTATATCTGGTATAGACTAGAGATGTACCGATGTATAGGTATCGGCAATATCGACCATTTTTTCGGTATCGGCCATGTATCGGTATCGGTTAGATTAAGGCCGATATTTCCGATATATTTACCTTTTTGATATGGCCCAGAATGTTTTAAAAGATTAGTTGGAATACTACTTTTTAATTAATTTCTTGTCTGGAGAGATCGTGAGCCATGAGCCATACATGTCCTCACCGCGAGAGAATAGAATTCATGTGTATTTAGCTATTTATCAGCCAAACTAGCTCAACTAATTTGGCTATTTTCGTTATCAAATTTTTATATTGACATTTTTATTATTACATAATAATAATAAAGAAATATATCAACACAGCACATAAAAAAAAGCAACTAGGCGTCCAGTTTTAAATCATACAGTGGAATTGGGGTCCTTATTACCGGCACATAGACTTTTGGCAAGGGTATAAATTCTGTTTGTCGTCAAGTACGAGTGTCATTTGGTCTGTCGACATCGATAAAACTAAATTCCGACACAATTATTCCTCTACGCGGGTATTTATTTTAATTTTGTTCAACTACACAATTACTTCATAGATATATTGACATGACCGCCTAGCCCTAGACTGTCTCAAAATATATGATAGCAATTGTAAAATATTGTAAAATAGTTGAAGTAAAAAAACATCCTCGACGGTTATAGATAGGCCTTCCTTTTGTCGGTGCTGATTGATATTCTTTCATGTTGGCTTCGACTTATTGCGTCGACGATTACGATTAGCCACGAAACAAAATATATGTAAAATGCTTTTAATTTGAACGTAGGACGGCGGCGCTAGAATGTGTGGGTGATATTCGATATTCTTTTAAACACGAATAACCATATACGAAGGTCGCGATATTAACAATAAATTCAAATTGGACATCCCGGCTTATGAGTTTTCTAATCGAACACCGAGATTACTAGCGTTACTGTACAATGTATCTTAATCAGTTAAAGCAAACACCAAACATTAATTTCACATTATGTGATATATCTCTTTTTCGATCTGAAATAATGTGTACTAAGAACAACACTCAAAGACCATTGTTTTAGCCCGTCTGCCCTACACACCACCCCTAATTAAGTAATAAATACATAGTATCGGTATCGGAATATCGGTAATATCGGCCTTTTGTAGTATCGGCATCGGCGATTTTAGCTGGTATCGGCGACAAAAGTGGTATCGGTACATCTCTAGTATAGACTCGTTGTGGGCACTCCCCTGCCCCGCCCGCAAATATCTTTCTGTTTTTAATTTTGACTCCCGGTCAATCAACTTTGGGAACCACTGTGTTAAACTATTACATTGAGTGATGTGTGAATACTATTTTCCCCCTTAGTGTTAACAAGCCATATACCGCAATAGAGTCCCCAGTAGGTCATTATTCAACTGATGGACTCGTGCATACTACAATAGCTGGATGTACTGCCCTAACAATTCCAGATTCTGTAGATTTTTCAATTTATATTTACGCATTTATGATGGTTACTTTTTACTCTCAAAGATTTCAACTCACCTTTGCATTGCCTGTGTTTTCCTTGAATACTTTCATTTCTTCTGCTGTCAGATCACAAGCCCAAGCCTTGAATACCTTCACCTGACATTGTGTAACAACTAATCCAACTTCAGCCCAACCAGCAGGTTCAAGATCCCTATTGTGACTGACATCTAGTTCATCCAACTGAAATAAATAAGAACTTTAAGAATATTTAACATGGTAGGAATTTAACCAAAGCAATTGATTAACCAGTAATAAAAAATCTCAATCAGAACAGCTGTGGGAGAAATGAATGAAGTGATCTAAATAGATATCCACTGACACTAAAGCAGGAAGCTAAAACTTGCAGTGCTCAAATGACTTCAATAAAAGAAGAAATTGCTTTACTGCCAGAGATTCTCCAATAAGAATTCATTTTATAGTCTTGTTTGAAGCTGAACCAATCCGTATGCGATGATTACCTAGTTGGTTTTCTGCAACGCTAGCTATGGAGTGGCCATGGCTTAAGAGTTAACAAGGCATATGCCGCAAACATGTTACCACCATGCAAAAAAAAAATTACAACTCCTTATAATGAAAAGTAAAAATGACATGATCTCTTTCAACGAAATAGTAAGTATATTTGTGAGCTTTCGTTAGCCTAACTTCTTCAAACAATACAAAATATACCTGTAAATATAAATCTAGTCTTCATTTTCAGTCTGTAAGAATGTTTAACATGGTGAAAATGTAAAGAAAACAATTGTAATCTCCAGCAAAAGCAAAAACCCAAAACATTTGAAATAAGGTCAATATATCAGACAATATATAAAAAGTAAGGCTCATCACTGCGGTTCCAAATATGGGGAAGAGCAGGGATAATTGATATTTTCTATGATTATTCTGTGTACCAGGAAGTGTTCACTATTAGCGCATTTATTGGGAACAGTTTTTTATAGGGATTGCGAAATCGCACTTTTCTCAATTTTAAGGAGCAAAAATTCGATGTTGACAAATCTTTTCGTGCGAATATGAAGTTGACAAATAAGTTGGGTACTAGTACTTTTTCAGACTTGCTGATGCCCTGGCGATTTTCCGATTGCAATATTATCGAAATATGTGAAACATTCTCTATATTAAATTAAATGACTTTGTGCGGGCTTAGAGTTCTCCCGGGAAATGATGTGTACCAGACGTTAGACGTTAGATAAAATATTATTAGCTTAATACTCTTCTCGACGCCCCGTTTTTAAAAAATACAAAGTTATATCGCAAATATGCGTTTTGTTACATTTAAAATAAAACATTATTTGAGTTTCATTTATATCAAATTTTAATTTTCACGACACCCTGTTTTGAAACTACAAAGTTATATCGCGCAAGATGCATTCTGTTACATTTAAAATACTTCAACTCCCAGCAGCGAAAAAGTACCTCTTCCCATGTGCCAAGTCTGCGCTAAAATTCTTTCAAACGACGCAATGAAACCCGCAAATCCAACGAAAAAAATAATATCAAAAAGACAGCAGCAAATTTCTCATCAAATTGAATTTTTTTGCACCGCCTACTTTTGCTTAAATTGCATTCTTTTGATTATGTTTTGTGTTCATGACATTTTTGGTTAATTTTGAAGGTCCGCCGGTCCGCGAAATTTGTTTTGAAATTTTACCGGTCCGCGAACTGAAAAAGGTTGAGAACCACTGCACTATATGATATTTTCTAACCGATTTGAACTGAGGCAAATCCACATTTAAAAATGACATGTCTTTGCATAAGCTCTGAGATATTTGAATATAAATGAGAAAATAGGTGGAGCTAGCTCATGAAACAGGGGAGGATTTTCCAAGGGATCTTGCATAATATTTTGGAGGCCATGTAAGTCAACCCATCTCTTAAAACAGTGTTTTTCAACCGGTGTGCCGTAAACTATCGTCAGGGGTGCCGTGGGAAATTTTCCAATTTGTATGTTCATGCGATGTAGCGCCCGGCAGAGTAATCATGTAGTACTGTTCTATACCAGAAGGTGACAGCAGCAGGTGGCGATTTGCCGCTATGTTTGTTTTTATTTGATTACTATTCAAGATGTCCAATTTAACATCTTTCTTCAACGTTTCTTCAAGAAAGCTCATATTAAGAATTTACCACTTATATTGTGAACATCAGGTCTTTTCCCCACATTTTCAGCTGGTGGTGTGCCGCAATATTCTCTCAATGAAAAAAGTGTGCCTCGGCACGAAAAAAGTTGAAAAAAAACTGTCTTAGAACAGCGGGTGGCGACTTTCATAGTGACAAATTAATAATTATTCGATTAGGGTTAGGGATAAATTAAAAAGTTGAATTTTCAGCGCAATCTGCATTCCTAACCCTAATTGGATAATTACTATTTTTATTTGGGTGTTGGTGGGGGATGTTATTTTGCACTGGCTTTGTACAAATGATCTACTCCGTAACTAATATGGATTCCAGCTTGCGTGTTTTAATCGTTGTCTATTAGAATTAGATGGAAGAAGTAACACAAATGTGAAAGATAGTCTTTGCTGTTCACACGAATTAGCACCCATTGATAGCACGAAAGCTTAGTTCGCTACAGGCGTGCTTAACAGGTGTCATTTTGTTACTGATGAATTTGCTCGTTTTAAACAAAGATTTAAACAAAACTCTGTTAACGGAAAGACTCCTATTTAATTTGCAATATTAACGGAAGGAGCGCTCCTTCGAGTATCTATGTTGTTTTAAAGAAGTTAAAATAAAAGCTAGGGCACCTTACTTTTAAAATGCACTTTCGCACTTTTATTTTCGACTGCCAAGCACTTTCGCATTCATAATTCGCTCAGAGTTAACACTGGTACCAGGGTGGCGATGGAAAACAAAGTGAACTTGGTCAGGGTGCAGATGTGGTTTTGAAATGGACAGAAATCTTACCAAATAATTGAAATTATAAGCTTTTTGGCAACCTTTTTACGAGCGTTCCTTAGAAAGAAAAACTGATGGATGCTGGAATACATTAAGTAGGTACGGTGCAAAAACCGACTTGGAAACATGAAGATCGCCGATGAGAAGGACTTGAAGAAAAAAAGTGCTTATGATTATAGAGTTGAAGTTTTTTATTTTTCGTTTTAGATACCATCAATTGTTACGTCATTATCACATTTTAAGCACGAGTATATAATAACAATTCAATTCTACTGGTATAGACTCGTTGTGGGCACTCCCCTGTCCCGCCCGCAAATATCTTTCTGTTTTTAATTTTGACTTTTCAAAAGCATATCCCCCCTTAATGTTCCCAAGTCAATGGGCTGAAAGTTAATGGGCCACAAACTGAAAGTTAATGGGCCACAAAACTGAAAGTTATCGGGCCACAAACTGAAAGTAAATGGGCCACAAAACTGAAAGTTAATGGTCCACGAAACTGAAAGTTAATGGGCCACGAAACTGAAAGTTAATGTGCCACAAAACGGAAAGTTAATGGGCCACAAACTGAAAGTTAATGTGTCACAAAACTAAAAGTTAATGGGCTGCAAAACTGAAAGTTAACGGGCCACAAAATTTTTGCGCAACGCAAAAAAAAGATTGAGAACCACTGGCTTGGAGTTAACAAGCCATATATCGCAATCAAGTCCCCAGTAGGTCATGATTCAACTGATGGACTCGTGCATACTACAATAGCTGGATGTACTGCCCTAACAACTCCAATTTCTGTAGATTTTTCAATTTATAATTACGCATTTATGCTGGTTACTTTTTACTCTCAAAGATTTCAACTCACCTTTGCATTGCCAGTGTTTTCCTTGAATGCTTTCATTCCTTCTGCTGTCAGTTTGCAACCCCGAGCCTTGAACACCTTCACCTGACATTGTGTAACAACTAATCCAACTTCAGCCCAACCAGCAGGTCCAAGATACTCATTGTGACCGACATATAGCTCATCCAACTGAAATAAATAAGAACTTTAGGAATATTTACCATGGTAGGAATGTCAACAAAGCAATTGATTAACCAGTAATAAAGAATCTCAAGCAGAACAGCTGTGGGAGAAATGAATGAAGTGATCTAAATAGATATCCACTGACACTAAAGCAGGAAGCTAAAACTTGCAGTGCTCAAATGACTTCAATAAAGAAGAAATTGCTTTACTGCCAGAGATTCTCCAATAAGAATTCATTTTATAGTCTTGTTTGAAGCTGAACCAATCCCTATGCGATGATTACCTAGTTGGTTTTCTGCAACACTAGCTATGGGGTGGCCATGGCTTATTAATTAGAGTTAACAAGGTATATACCGCAAACATTTTCCCACCAAGCAAAAAATAAATTCCAACCCCTTATACCAACGGTGCACAGCCCTCGGCCGTTGTGAAAAAGTAATGCGGCCGTCCACATACAAAATCCTATAAACAAAAATAAAAAAGTTCAAAATATAGGATTTGGCGGCTATGCTGGAGTACATTGAAGCAAAACAGAAGCACTGCAAAAAAGTCAGACAAACCGATGCGTCACAATCTGGATGGTGTATTTGCTGTTGGGGATTTCCCTTCACGGTTAAGATTGCTCACACGTTTCGGCAGCCTAGCAACGTAGCAAGTTAGCCTAGCAAGGCATCCGCAGCGTACAGCCGAGGAAGCCGCCGTCATTTGCTGTTTGATAGGTGCGGTATGACCCTGCGACGTCTTGGCGCCGAGTAATCACGCTTTTGACTATTTCGGTTCCGATTCATCGCGAAGGCGCTCCGTCAAATCTCGTAAGATTCAGAAACCCACAAATCAGCATGCATGCTTTTCTTGATTAATAAGTCGAAGTTACGTTGGTTTATTATGAATCTCTCTTCCGCCGTCATATTGGTGTTTGATAAGTGCGGAATTGATGGCCTGGCGACGTCTTGGCGCCGAGTAATCACACTTTTACTTTTTCGGTTCCGATTCATGGCGAAAGCAAGATTCACAAACCTGAAAATCAGCATGCATGCTTTTTGCGTTTTGCATTGATATTACCATCCATATAAAAGGTTATGAGTATTTCTTTCTTTGTTTAAACCAGAAAACTGTCAGGACCAGTATAATATTCCAGACCCATAACACCCAGCGAGATATGAACTTATTGCGACCTTGCAGGTGGTCACGAGACATACAACAAAAGCATGGGCCGTTGAGATCTTTTTCGGGTGATGCACAGCAAGATTTTGACCCTGGTGTCAAGTTAGCAACGACTTTATCATTGCAATATAAATTCATTTTGTTTGGGGCGTCGATCAACTGCAGACGGATTGATATGATGAACCCGATGAAACCTTAACTTTACAGTCCAGATTTATAAAAAATCATTGTCACAATTCATTCTTGAGCTCTCTTGATAACGAATACCCATCGCTAAGTAATCAAGCAACAAACAGTTGTCCGAATTTTTAACCAGTTACTTCTAGCTTTAATTAAAACGAAGCAAATAAATTGACTGTGAGCCGCTGAAGAGCTTTGTGTTGCGAAACCTTTTTTTGATGCCTCGTTTGCAATCCTGTATTGGAAACGAAACAGCAAAATTCTCACTGGAGTTAATTGTGTGTGTACATGTTTTGGCATGTACATGTTTTTTTATGTGAGGTGTGGGCCTTTTTTAATCATAGTGGGTGCCCACTGCATGTTATTACGCAAATATAGGGTATTATTTTATGTTCCAACCATTCCAATTTTTGGCCGGCCACTATTTGATAGTTTTTCCACATGTGAAATATTTTTAAGCGTACTTTTTTCCTCAAAGCGTAGTGATTGCCTGACATTACGCAAATATATGTTATTATTTTCTGTTCCATTCATTTAAATTTTTGCCGGTCTGCGAGTACATTTTATTTAATTTTACCGGTCCGCCAGGTTAGAAAGGTTGGGAACCAGTGTCCTAGATGATGGAATATTCATAGATAAAAGCCTCAACCGCCGGGTGCGTCAACCATCCTGCCGGTTCGTCAGCTATAATCCAATGTTATATCTTAATAGCAAAATGCAAGGCATTGAAGTTCATTTATTTTGTGAGTTTAACTCCTATTAATGCGTAAACCAAACTCGTTCAGATGTCATATGCTCATTTCAAGCCCTGAATGCTGAATGTTTTGTTTAGTGTATGACGTCATAAAGATGTTCACTTATCCTGTTAAAAAAATACATTGAATGGCTTGTGCAGGATTTTGTGCCTCTGTAACATTATATTTGGTTTAAAAATCCACTAATATTTGATTGCTTTTTTCTTAATATAAAATTTTGGTAGCGGAAGTAGCCAAGTTAGTTTGGCTTTTATTTGATACTGAAAAAATGGACAATATTGTAGATAGATCTCTAGTAGGTACCAATACACTGATCTCCCAAATCCAAGTAGAGTCTTGAATGGAATATTCGTGTAGGGCACAGTTTTTTTTTTCAAATTCAACTGATGGACTCGTGCATACTTTAACCGCTGGATGTACTGCCCTAACAACTCCAATTTCTGTAGATTTTTCAATTTATAATTACGCATTTATGCTGGTTACTTTTTACTCTCAAAGATTTCAACTCACCTTTGCATTGCCAGTGTTTTCCTTGAATGCTTTCATTCCTTCTGCTGTCAGATTGCAATACCGAGCCTTGAATACCTTCACCTGACATTGTGTAACAACTAATCCAACTTCAGCCCAACCAGCAGGTCCAATATCCCTGTTTTCACTGACATCTAGTTCATCCAACTGAAATAAATAGGAACTGTAAGACTATTTAACATGGTGAGAACCTGAACAAAGCAATTGATTAACCAGTAATAAAGAATCCCAAGCAGAAAAGCTGTGGGAGGAAATGAATAAAGTGGTCTAAATAGATATCCACTGACACTAAAGCAGGAAGCTAAAACTTGCAGTGCTCAAATGACTTCAATAAAGAAGAAATTGCTTTACTGCCAGAGATTCTCCAGTAAGAATTCATTTTATAGTCTTGTTTGAAGCTGAACCAATCCGTATGCGATGATTACCTAGTTGGTTTTCTGCAACACTAGCTATGGGGCGGCCATGGCTTAGGAGTTAACAAGGCATATACCGCAAACATGTTACCACCATACAAAAGAAATTTCAACCCCTTATACCAAGTTAATTTTTTTTAAACATTCTGGATCAGATCGAAAACTGGAAATAGTGGAAAAATTGGCCTTCATTTGGGTGATACCGAAAATATGGCCAATATTGCAGATACCGATACCTGATACATCTCTAGTAGGTACTGTACATAAATCGCCAGAGTCCAAGTCAAGTCTCGTATGAAAACGATTCAAATCAAATTTTAACTGTGTCAGGTTCACCAATTAAAGCATTGGAACCAAGTCCATTCGAGTCCCCAGTACGTAATGATTCAACCGATGGAAAAGTGTATACAATCGCCGAAGAGTCCCAAAATGGATGAAGGGAGGTACTCAAGAAAAGGTTGGGAACCACTGAGGCAGAACATAGATCTAAATAGATATCCACTAAAGCAGGAAGATAAAACTTGCAATGCTCAAATGACTTCAATAAAAGAAGAAATTGCTTTACTGTCAGAGATTCTCCAGTGAGAATTCATTATATAGTCTTGTTTGAAGCTGAACCAATCCCTATGCGATGATTACCTAGTTGGTTTTCTGCAACACTAGCTATGGGGCGGTCATGGCTCAGAGTTAACAAGGTATATACCGCAAACATTTTCCCACCAAGCAAAAGAAATTTCAACCCCTTAGACCAACGGTGCACAGCCCTCGGCCGTTGTGAAAAAATAATGCGGCCGTCCACATACAAAATCCTATGAACAAAAATAAAAAACTTCAAAATATAGGATTTGGTGACTATGCTGGCGTATATTGAAGCAAAACAGAAGCACCACAAAAAAGTCAGACAAATCGATGCGTCACAATCTGGATGGTGTATTTGCTGTTGGGGATTTCCCTTCACGGTTAAGATTGCTCACGCGTTTCGGCAGCCTAGCAACGTAACAAACTAGCCTAGCAAGGCATCCGCAGCTTACAGCCGAGGAAATTGTAGCAGTTTTATTTGATTCTTACTCTGATTTGTATGACAGGCCTGATGGTGAATCTGTCGATTGGCCAACTTTTCAGTGAAGAATACCATTTCAAATGAGGTCTAATTAAGCTTGCTGTTAGCAACCAGATTTTGTTTATTACAGCGCTAGCCTATATTAAACTGCCTAAAACTCTTAAACATTACTTCATGTCGTCATTAAATTGCTACAATGCTTTGCAAACTTTTAGAGAATAAACTCATTAAAATATTCAACATTTTATTATACTTTTGGAGACAAGAAAATGGGGGCAACCGCCCCTCCCCCTCCCAGACTTTCGATTTTTTTCCAAATTGTGCAACCATTATGCAACTTGCTGCAATATATCTACTCAAGAATAGGTCCACCGAAGGGGAAAAATCCGTTTAAAATGCGAATATTATACTTCCAAGTAGTCCTACATACTTCATAATTGGGCAGACTGCACCTCGCACGGGTCAAATACGCGGTTATGATTATGACGTCATAAAAGCAAAAAAATTTGCGTGCCTTAGGCGCACTCATCAACCCCCTGGAGACCGTTTTGAATACAAATTAATGCTATGTGGCCGCCAATAGCAAAAATGTTGTGCACCCATGCCTTATACTGACTAATTTTTTTTAAAAATTCTGGATCAGTTCAAAAAGAGAAGTATTAGCCCTCATTTTCATTCAAATGGCCGATATTGCAGATACCCGATACATCTCTAGTAGGTACCAATACACAAATCTTCAAGTCGAGTCTTGAATGAAAGCAATTGGAATCAAATTTCAAATGTGTCAGGTCAACCAATTAAAGCATTGAAACCAAGTCCATTTGGGTCACCAGGAGGTCATGATTCAACCGATGGACTCGTGCATACTACAATCGCTGAATATACAGAGCCTTGTTCTGAGCAAACAGATACAAATTTGAAAATGTATATACCTTATTTGCTCGTTTTGTAGCCCGGGCCCATATTTTATTCAACCAACTCACTAACCGGGCCCTTATTCAAGCACAGGCGCTTGTTATTTTCGATCGTTACAATAATTAATATGTTGTTATTTCCAGTTCTCAAGAATGATTTAAACGAGAATAACGAAAATTTTGACTTTTTCCACGCACCGCAGGTACAAATCCGCAAAGAAAGAAAATTTTTGCCACGCCGAGTTTGAGAACCATGGTGTTACGTAATCAGGCGCGCAGCCAGGACTTTCAAAGGGGAGGGGTTTCAAAATCGGAAATTCCAATCACCGTGTGTAACAGTCACGACGATTACATGCTCGGTAAAAGAGCCGCCTTTTCAGCGTATAAAGATTTTTGTGTTGCTTAAATTATTCAATCCATGACAACTACGAAATTCTGAAACGTCCTTATATATTAATTTAATTGTGTCCAACGTAACTAGCGGTTGCGACTTCTTACGTCAAAATAAAAACATTATTTTTCTAAAATACCACGGCGATCTGTGGACATAAATATATGAGATAAGCTGCTTGATGTATTTAATTTTGATACATATTTTTTCAATCTTGCGAACTCGTTATAGCCGTAGAAAAATCTTAATATCTGTTATAAAATGCATATAGTACAATTTTACTTCATACAATGAAAATACGCCTTTAAGTCTTTTTTTTACATTTAAAATAAAACATTATTTGAGTTTAATTTAGATCAAATTTCACACTTCACGACACCCATTTCGAAAATACAAAGTTATATCGCCAAAGATGAATTTTGTTACATTTAAAATAAATAAAACACTATTTACGGTTAATTTAGACCAAATTACACTTTTCACGACACCCTGTTTCGAAAATTAGGATTTTGCAGTAGAAATGAATTTGTCTGAAAGTGTTATTTTACGAGTCTTGCCCGCAGAAAATAAACACCCTGACATACTTGATAGTCGTTAAATTTATTTTACACCATTAACTAACGCGCCCTACCAAGTTCAACGTCCAATTCAACATCTTTCTTCAATGTTTCTTCAAGTTGAATATTCAGCGCAATCTGCATTCCTAACCCTAATTGGATAATTACTATTTTTATTCGGGTGTTGGTGGGGGATGTTATTTTGCACTGGCTTTGTACAAATGATCTACCCCGTAACTAATATGGATTCCAGCTTACGTGTATCAATCCTTGTCTATTAGATGGAAGGAGTAACACAAATGTGAAATTAGCCTTTGCTGTTCACGCGAATTAGCACCCATTGATTGCACGAAAGTTTAGTTCGCTACAGGCGTGCTTAGCAGGTGTCATTTTGTTACTGATGAATTTGCTCGTTTCAAACAAGGATTTAAACAAAACTCTGTTAACGGAAAAACTCCTATTTAATTTGCAATATTAACGAAAGGAGCGCTCCTTCGAGTATCCACCGGTATGTCGTTTTAAGGAAGTTAAAATAAAAGCTAGGGCACCTTACTTTTAAAATGCACTTTGGCACTTTTATTTTCGACTGCGAAGCACTTTCGCATTCATAATTCGCTCAGAGTTAACACTGGTACCAGGGTGGCGATGGAAAAACAAAGTGAACTTGGTCAGGGTGCAGATGTGGTTTCGAAATGGACAGAAATCTTACCAAACAATTGAAATTATAAGCTTTTTGGCAACCTTTTTACGAGCGTTCCTTAAAATGAAAAACTGATGGATGCTGAAATAAATTAAGTAGGTACGGTGCGCAAAAAACGAATTGGAAACATGAAGATGCCCGACGAGAAGGACTTGAAGAAGAAGTGCTTATGATTATAGAGTTGAAGTTTTTTATTTTTCGTTCTAGATATCAATTGTTACGTCATTATCTTATTTTAAGCACGAGTATATCATAACAGTTCAATTCTACTGGTATAGACTCATTGTGGGCACTCCTCTGCCCCGCCCGCAAATATCTTTCTGTTTTTAATTTTGACTCCCGGACAATCAACTTTGGTAACCACTGTGTTAAACTATTACATCGAGTGACGTGCGAAAGATTTTGTGCTTCTGTGGCGCCATACTTTTGTATTTTAGACATCGGAAAATAGTATTCGATTGATATTTTTCTTCATATCTTTTTGAATTATTATATAATATTTGTGTAGCGAAAGCAGCCAAGTTATTAGTTTGGCTGATGAACAACTTTCATTTAGGTGATACCGGAAAAATGGCCAATATTGTAGATACATCTCTAGTAGTTACCAATACACAAATCTCCCAAGTCCCAAGTTGAATCTTGAACGGAAACGATTTGAGTAAAATTTTAATTGTGTCAGGTTCACTAATTATTAAAGCATTGAAACCAAGTCCATTTGAGTCCCCAGTAGGTCATTATTCAACTGATGGACTCGTGCATACTACAATAGCTGGATGTACGGCCCTAACAACTCCAATTTCTGTAGATTTTTCAATTTATAATTACGCATTTATGCTGGTTACTTTTTACTCTCAAAGATTTCAACTCACCTTTGTATTGCCAGTGTTTTCCTTGAATGCTTTCATTCCTTCTGCTGTCAGATTGCACTCCCGAGCCCTGAATACCTTCACTTGACATTGTGTAACAACTAATCCAACTCCAGCCCAACCAGCAGGTTCAAGATCCCTATTGTGACTGACATCCAGTTCATCCAACTGAAATAAATAAGAACTTTAAGAATATTTAACATGATGGGAATGTCAACAAAGCAATTGATTAACCAGTAGTAAAGAATCTCAAGCAGAACAGCTGCAGGAGAAAATGAATGAAGTGATCTAAATAGATATCCACTAAAGCAGGAAGCTAAAACTTGCAGTGCTCAAATGACTTCAATAAAGAAGAAATTGCTTTACTGCCAGAGATTCTCCAGTAAGAATTCATTTTATAGTCTTGTTTGAAGCTGAACCAATCCCTATGCGATGATTACCTAGTTAGTTATCTGCAACGCTAGCTATGATCATGGCTTAGAGTTAACAAGGTATATACCGCAAACATTTTCCCACCAAGCAAAAAAAATAAATTCCAACCGCTCATACAAAGGTGCACAACCTGCGGTCATTGTGAAAAAATAATGAGGCCATCCACATACAAAATCCTGTAAACAAAAATATAAAAGTTCAAAATATAGGATTTGGTGGCTATGCTGGCATATATTGAAGCAAAACAGAAGCACCACAAAAAAGTCAGACAAACTGATGCGTCACAATCTGAATGGTGTATTTGCTGTTGAGGAATTCCCTTCATGGTTTCGGCAGCCTAGCAACGTAGCAAGCTAGCCTAGCGAGACATCCGCAGCTTACAGCCTAGGAAATTGTAGCAGTTTTATTTGATTCTTACTCTGATTTGTATGACAAGCCTGATAGTGAATCTGTCGATGGCCAACTTATCAGTGAAGAATACCATTTCAAATGAGGTCTAATTAAGCTTGCTGTTAGCAACCAGATTTTGTTTATTACAGCGCTAGCCTATATTAAACTGCCTAAAACTTTTAAACATTACTTCATGTCGTCATCAAATTGCTACAATGCTTTGCAAAATTTTATAGAATAAATTCATTAAAATATTTGACATTTTATTATACTTTTGGGGACAAGAAAATGGGAGTGACCGCCCCTCCCCCTCCCAGACTTTCGATTTTTTCCAAATTGTGCAACCATTATGCAACTTGCTGCAATATATCTGCTCAAGAATAGGTCCAACGAAGGAGAAAAATCCGTTTAAAATGTGAATATTATACTTCCAAGTAGTCATACATACTTCATAATTGGGCAGACTGCACCTCGTATGGGTCAAATACACGGTTATTATGAGTAAACGTCATGAAAGCAAAAATAAATTGCGTGCCTTAGGCGCGCTCATCAACCCTATTAATGCTATGTGGACACAAAATGGGCCACAAAACTGAAAGTTAATGGGCGACAAAACTGAAAGTTGATGGGCCACAAAACGGAACGTTAATGGACCACAAAACGGAAAGTTAATGGGCCACAAAACTGAAAGTTAATGGGCCACAAAACAGAACGTTAACAACAAAACCACAAAAAAACAAAAAAAAACACAAAACTGAAAGTTAATTGGCCACAAAATTGAAAGTTAATGGGCCACAAAACAGAAAGTTAATGGGCCACGAAACGGAAAGTTAATGGGCCACAAAACGGAAAGTTAACGGGCCACAAAACGGAAAGTTAATGGGCCACAAAACGGAAAGTTAATGGGCCACAAACTGAAAGTTAATGGGCCACAAAACTGAAAGTTAATGGGCCACAAAACTGTAAGTTAATGGACCACAAAACTGAAAGTTAATGGGCCACAAAACTGAAAGTTAATGGGCCACAAAACGGAAAGTTAATGGGCCACAAAACAGAAAGTTAATGGGCCACAAAATTGAAAGGTAATGGGACCACAAAACGGAAAGTTAATGGGCCACAAAACTGAAAGTTAATGGGCCACAAAACTGAAAGTTAATGGGCCACAAAACTGAAAGTTAATGGGCCACAAAACGGAAAGTTAATGGGCCACAAACTGAAAGGTAATGGGACCACAAAATTGAAAGTTAATGGGCCACAAAACGGAAAGTTAATCGGCCACAAAACGGAAAGTGAATGGGCCACAAAACTGAAAGGTAATGGGGACCACAAAATTGAAAGTTAATGGGACACAAAACGGAAAGTTAATGGGCCACAAACTGAAAGTTAATGTACAACAAAACTGAAAGTTAATGGGCCACAAAACTGAAAGTTAATGAGCCACAAAACTGTAAGTTAATGGGCCACAAAACTTAAAGTTAATGGGCCACAAAACTGTAAGTTAATGGGCCACAAACTGAAAGTTAATGTACAACAAAACTGAAAGTTAATGGGCCACAAAACTGAAAGTTAATGAGCCACAAAACTGAAAGTTAATGGGCCATAAAACTGAAAGTTAATGGGCCACAAAACTGTAAGTTAATGGGCCATAAAACTGAAAGTTAATGGGCCACAAAACTGTAAGTTAATGGACCACAAAACTGAAAGTTAATGGGCCACAAAACGGAAAGTTAATGGGCCACAAAACTGAAAGGTAATGGGACCACAAAATTGAAAGTTAATGGGCCACAAAACGGAAAGTTAATGGGCAACAAAACGGAAAGTGAATGGGCCACAAAACTGAAAGTTAATGGGCCACAAAACGAAAAGTTAATGGGCCACAAAACTATAGGACGTGACACTATATGAGGATCCATTGAAGATTGAATAAATAAAGTAGTTTTTATACAAAGGCAGGGAGGAATAAGTCCCAAAATGGATGAAGGGAAGGAATTTAATGAAAAAGGTTGGGAACCACTGAGGTAGAACATAGAACCACCTGAGCTGGACGAATTTCTATGATACGAGTTGGAACAATTAGTGATCTTGAATAGAAATACTTTTATCAACTTCCAATATTAAGTTTACCTTCAAACAGGAACCTTCCAAATTTGACTTCAGGATATGAACCAGTTCAGCATTGAGATTGCAGTCGTATAGACAAACCCGAGTTAGGTGGTTGCAGCGTCGTATATCTGATGACATTACATGCATTCCTGCTGTAGTGAAGAGTTCTTCCTCAAAATCAATCTCCCTGATGCAGGATTGAATAAGATCGGTGTTGTTAGCTTCATATAATGTTCCATACAGCTCGAACTCCTGATATGATTCCATTACTTCATGTGACTGAGATGATAGAAATTCTCTCAGAATTTTTTTCTTCTCATCTTGTCTGGCATCTGGTAAGTAAAAATATTTTTAGTTTGAGAAAGGCTAATATGATCTTTAAGCTGATGTAAAAGATGGGAGTTTGAATTCTGTGGGACTTATTTGGGGCAAACGGAATACTAAGTTGGCCATAGTTGTAGTACAAATAGCATAACTACAGGCCTGATTCTCCGCCAGTTCAATATACAATAATTGGTATCCCTAAAGTATGTGAACCAAGATGGCAGTCTGTGTACCAGGTCAGGGTTAGGCCATAATTAGAGGTACAAATACTAGTGAAGTCACTTGACTAGTCCTCGAACTCGTAATAGAACTAAAATTGGATGATAATTATGGCCTAACCCTAACTTGGTACACATACTACGTTCCGGTGTCCGCCATCTTAGTTCACGTGCTTTGGGATTATCCAATAAATCAGTCTTGTCTACTTTTTTCAAAGCCATGAAAGTCTAGATGTCGCCGAACAGTCGCCGCGATTACGTCACTTGTTAGAAGAGCCGACTTTTCTAACGAAAAATGATTTTTCTCTTGCGCAAGGTAACCTATCCATAACCGATAAGTGCATATTTAAAATGTCCTGATTTATTAATTTAATTGTCTTCAATTTATCCTGCGGTTGCGCCGACAAAACAAGAGCCACTCTAAAACACCACGGAATTCTGCATAAAAATGTGTGGTAAACTGCCCTATTATATATTGTTTTTATCCGTATTTTTTCTATTTTGCAAATTCGACAAATTTGAGATGTGCTTGTAACATTGAATCCGTTCAATCGCAATGCTGCCATTTCCGATAATTTCAAAGATAAAAGCTTTCGAAAAATCCGTAAATCTATTGTAAATTCTCATGGAGTAAAATTTATTTCAGTAGATGAAAATTGATGGATATACTTCAGATTAATTATCTTATATATCATCACTAACGGAAATCACGAAAAAATCGCGTTTTCAACCTTGTTTAATGATAACGCCAAAATTTTCGACGACAATTGTAAAAGTAATGGATCCCACCCACAATTAACTGTGTTTCGATTTTAATGGCGATATGTTCCGAAACAGCGAGGAGAACATAATGTGTGCCGTGGCACCACGAAATTTGCGAATTTTAAAAGCGATTTTTAGACTAGAAAAGCGTTTTTAGAACGTCGCGGGACTCAACTAATCTTATAGCCTATTGTTTACGCGTTTTGTTATCAGTATTTTGTATTTGTCGATTTTCAGTCAAATTAGATCGCGGGTTTTACTCCTTCATTTGTGTTTAGAACCTCGCCGCCGATGAACGCATAATAACTCTCACCGAATTCACAATTCCTTGCAAAAATACAAAAAAAAAATAATCATCATGTTAATCGTGGCACAAATTTGTGATTAGAGAGAATAAATACCGACGTAAAGCGTTTACGGCCTAAATAACACCACTGATGGAAACAATCGGCAGATTTTAGCAGAAGGCAATTGCACGCTTTTTCAGTTTTCACAATTCCGTGCGAGTACAAAAATAAAATAATATAATTTGTTCCCGTGGCACAAAATTTGTGATTTTAGAGGAATAAAAATTACCAACGAGAAGGCGAATTACAGCCCTAAATAACACGCCGCCTTGATGAAAACATACGGCGATTTTAGCAGAAAGCAATAATGCACGCGTTATCCGGCGACTTTTTCTGTTTTCAAAAAAAATCCAAAAGGGGGGGGGGGGGGTTCGACCCCCTGGCTGCGCCACTGGACATAACAATACATTTAACTTACCAGAGAAAAGTTTGTTATGAGACTACTTTCAATATCAGGATTCAGAATAATTCCACCCAATAGATGGCGAACAACTGCCCAATGATCATCTCGGAACTCAGTTTCGATAAATTTGCGAAACGTAGTAGAATCCATGTTTGAAATATAGAGAGCGGATAAAACTTCTTGAAGGACTTGATGGCTGAAGAACATCAGATGGTCTCCCTCCATGAGATGTTGGTTGAACATGTTTTTCCCAGGTACCTTGATGATAATGTCACGAACTTCATTGGATTGAAGTTGAAATTTTGTGAGATCCTTAGTTGTAAAAATGACTCGTTTCTTTTTTGTGCCTTCGAAGGACATTTCCATCAAGTTTGGAAGTATTTCTTCAATCCGTTTCCTTTCATGTGTGTGATCGGATCGCAATGAAGATGTGAAGGATTCGTAGCATTACCTCTGTCATAGTACCTGGTAGTTTCTCTGGGTGAACTTGCAGACAATTGGCTTGAATATTAGGAAAGTGGAACAGATGATACTGGAATGAGTGCGGTGACTGTCTTGTTAATTTTTCCCAAGCTTTTTCTACCGTCGTCCCCGACAACTGCAATGAACAACCTCTCGATTTTCGTCTCGAGTGATAGCAAGGCAGTTATGATTGACCTCAATTCTAAAGGAAGGGGTGCTATTCTGTGCTCACGGGAGAGAAATCACGATCGTCAGTCTGGGAAAGAGATTGCTGTTATGAGATTCCACATGATTGTTGCTGCGTGCTCGATTTATCGTATATTCATCTTATTGTACTTTTCCAAGGAGATTCCAAGTTGCCCTGATCCAGGCGTCAAGGAAACGAATAACACATTGATTGATTTTCTTGCAGCCATTCGTAACTTCTCCCACATCTTGTGTTGCGAGTCCAAAGCTAATTTTCCCAAAAAGTAATTCGCCACGGACTTATGGCTTCTTCTGCTTTGTTTCCTTGTAAAAACGGGATATCTTTGATATTCAAGTGATGAATAAACTTGAAGCGACGTCCTGTACTACCGAATAGCCGAATTCTTAATCCTTCACTTATTTGAGCTTGTTCGACTAATTTGTTGGCAACTAGAAGACTTCGAGCAAGACGTTTCATGATTGTCGACTTCCCACTGCCCGCCTGACCCAGTATGGCGATGTATCTGTATTCTTTGTTGCTCAAATGTCCCACAAGCACATCCAGAGAAATAGGTTCACCAATATCACTTTTTATAACAGTAAATTCCATCTCGATTTTATATTCCGTAACTTTGGGGGCCATTTCTCCACGGTAGAAGCCTGGTACTTTTCTTATTTGAGGATTCACCTCAAAGTCTGGTTCATTCAGTTTTGCTTCTTTGTAATTTTCTGTGATGTTAACTTTGGTTTGCTCCCAGGTCCTGTTGTTGAAGTAATTGATGAATTTTCTTGCATGGTTCCCTGAAAAAGGTTTGAACTCTAACAAATTACAATTTGAATAATGCTGTCGAAAATAAATTATAATATACAGGGATATATAGTATGCAGTCAATAGTCATAGGATTGCATATGTTTGAATTCTGTGAACCTGTGTTTTATGAAATAGGATTGTTCACTACAACAAAACTTAAATTATTTCGGTTTTTATTTCTAGTATTATATCCGGCCACTTTTCAAATAAAAAATTTGCGTCACGGATTCACTCTTTATTTGTCTTCAGCATTTCGCCGCCCTGTGGTGCAGCCATGGGGGGGTCAGGGTGGAAACTTCCCCTTTTGAAATTTTAGAAAAACTTGCATTTTGCTAACCGCCTATTATTTTTATTTTGTTGACGCAACTGCAGGTTAAATTGAAGACTAGAGCCCAAACGATATATCGGCCGTCCAATATATAGGCCTTGTTTTTCACAAATTTTGAACTATCGGTAACAGCTAATTTTATCGATAGTTATCGGCCAATCATGTGACTGCTAAAGTGACAAAATTACGTCGGGAAAGCAGTTGTCGTCTAATTATCCATTTCATGTATGGCCATAACTGAAAGGTTATTACCGATAATGAAGTTTTTGAAAGAGTACACAAGGGGAAAAAGGCAATTTAGTTTCGGCTGAAAATGCTAGTTCTATAAATAGAATATATTTGAAGCTGTTGAACTGTGGGGAATCCTCATGGTGGCAATATATGCTTTCAATGAAATTTGTATTTTCCTATGATGTCAATACTTCGTATTATATGTCTATTGCTATGACAAATAATTGCACTCTTGCATTTTGATGGCAACAGTAACAATACGATTACCAAATAATGTCATCCCTAGCTCCGAATTCGAGACCTTCCTAAATGCAATTTAAAAGTTCTTGGGCAACAGTTCAATCTTATTAATGGTTTTTAATCATTTTTCTGAAAATTACACAAAAAACTTCCAGAGTTAAGACTAATGATAATGAGATTAATTAGCACCTACAGGCTTTGCATGCTTTATTGAAACTGAATTCATAGGAATTGAGTGAATGAAGTATTGAGAGTATGTGCAATTTTCAACTGTCGACACTCGACAGTTTTCGAAACCCAATTTTAAAAACCTTTAAATTTTTTCATGTAATTTTTCGTCGTCATTGCACGAGTTGAACATTCTGTTATAGATTTCATTTGTTTTGCAAAGAAAATTATCAGAGTGTTGCTTGTTACTTGTAGCCATCTTTTTATGTGAGAAAACATCGGTATCAGCTTATCGGCCTAGTTTTAGTAAACTATCGGTATCGGTTTAAAAAGGTAGTATCGGTCGGGCCCTATTGAAGACCATTAAATTATTATAGCAAGGCATTTTAAACATGCTCGTATCGGTAATGGATTACTTACAGAATTACAGAGAATTCATTATTTATTTAAAAAGTCATTATTTTTAACAAGTAAAAATAAAATTTTAGGCTACTCCACAAGATTTTTCATCTAATCTTAAGATTTTTCTAACAGCAATAATGAGTTGGCAGGATTGCAAAAATCTGTATGAAAACTAAATACATTAGGCAGTTTATATCTTATGTTTATGTCCACATATCGCCTACCATAATAAAATTTTTATTTTGGCACAAGAAGACGCAACCATGAGTTACGTTAGACACAATTAAATTGGTACTTCAGAAGTATGTGCACCAATGTGGCGGATACCGGAACGTAGTAAATGTAGCAGTTTGGGGTTGGGCCATAATTTCAGGTACAAATACTGTGGGAGTCATTGGAATAAAATTATGGCGTAACTCTAACCCGATACACGTACTACGTCACGGTGTCCGCCATATTGGTGTACATACTTCTAGGAGCACCATTAAATTTATATAGGACATTTTAGAATCTCGAAGTTGTCATTGATTGAATATTTTACCCGCCAGAAAAGCCATTATACGCAAAAAAGATGGCTTTTTCAATGGCTGCTTCAAAGTTGGAATTTCCGATTTTGCGAGTGAAAAAAATAATTGTCGTGGCCAAGAGTACTACGTTGAAGTAAATTTGTGATTTAGGGAGAGCAAAAACCGCCATGAAGGTGTTTACGGGCTAAATGACATGTGATGCTGGCAAAAACAAAAGGTGATTACAGCAAAATGCAAAATTTTGTCGTATAGAAAAATTCGACACTTTAAATAAATGGAAATCAATGATTACATCAGGACAGATTATAAATACACTCACCTGCCACAAGTAAATCTTGATTGCTGTATTCTAAGTCAACGTTGCGTCGTTCTCTGCTTTGTAAACGAGATGCGGAACCTGAATTGAAATGAAAATACTTTGAAGCACAACACATGAATCTGAAAGTTTTCATTAGGTTTACGAATGGTCACATTCAGATTACAAGTAAAATATGAAGTTTCCAGAAGGATATGTTGGATTGGTATTTTAGGAACTAATAATTATTACATGAGAGTTACAAACAACCCAGTATCAAACTCATCAAAAATGCTTTACCTCTGTGAGTGGATCTCTGTGCAGGTTGTAGGACACCTAGAAAGAATAAAGCAAATATTTTTAATGAAATGAAAGTTTGTATTCACCAGTATGAAGGGTACCGCAAGTATCGTATTGGGAGAAGTCTTTTCGTGCTATAGATCGCCGCTTAAAATTAACAGGTATACTATTTACCAGGTATGGTTTTTAACAGTAATATTTTTTTGAGCTCATATGACTTTTTTTTCAAAATATAAATACCAATTTTGATAATTATGACATCAACAACATTTCAATCAAATTTTGTATGGGAGGTGACTCTAGTAATCAGAAAAATAAACGGGAGAACGTTGGTGAATCGTAATCGTTTACTAATAACAGTTTTGTGCATTTATATTAAACCATTATGAGTGAGGTGTAAAGGTGGGATTCATTTCAACTTACTGCTCTATTAATTTTCTCTTTGAAAAAATAGCATTGCTCGAATATAAGAAATACAAAAGTGTAATATCATATACCAGAATTCCCATTATTTTTCAATTTCGTTACAACAACAGTTGAGACTTATAGGCCCAGTACACATCCGATAATTATCAATATACACACCTAATGGAGGAGGCGTCACTTCATAGACTGGACAGGGTAAATCATTTGAAGCAAGTCTGGCATCAGCGAATTCATTTTTTCTTTGTGCTGTTGTTGCACCTGAAATCATAAATATAAATCTTCATTAATAACTGGCATACTCAGCTTAGGAAAGACCTTAATATTTTCGAAGGACTATTGCTTGGCTGAGATATTTTATTGGGGCATAGCCAGTTTAGCAAGATGACTATGACTGGCCTAGTATAACCTTTTTTCTTGGGGTTCAGTAGGAATAAAGCCCTTTCTAAGGCATACAGCTTGTTTAAAGAAGCATACCCAGTGACCATAGCTTGCCTATGGCAGCCAAACATTTTTCCTGGGGCATGGCATGATTAGTAGGAACAAAAACCAAGGCATACAGATCGTTTAAGAGGGACATAACCAGTTTAGGATTAGCCTTAGGACCATAACATGCCTGGGACGGCCAAACATTTTTCCTGGGGCATGGCATGATTAGTAGGAACAAAACCTTATCTGAGGCATACAGCTTGTTTAGAAAGGGCATAACAATTTTGCTGAAGCAGATAATTCCAAACTTGTTTAAAAGCGTCTTTTGCACTTGGAAACAAAATTAGTCTTGGAGTTGAGTCAAACCTGTCAGTACTTGAACGATATTAATTGGAATCATGATTTTTGAGGGAAACTCGAAAAGCACAGGCTTGCATTTTCAGAAGACACTAACAGAAAGTTTTTGCCACCGGGACATTGGTTCCCAATAATTGGAGTTATAGTGTCAGAGTAAAAATTTACCAATAATTAGTTAACATATTTGTCAACCAGGAGTCAAAACCAATTTTATTTCTGAATGCATCATATTATATTTCAAAATCTTGACAGTCAT